GGATGATGACGTGCAAGGAACAGTTGCCGAACGTTCCATCATTGAGATGAAGTGGGTGGTTCCAAACCATCCAAAATATGACTTGATTGTAAGGGAGCGCAAAGCTTCAATTTATCACATCAGAGTTCTTTGGACCTAGCAAAGTTCTATAAGCGTATTTTTTAGGTATCGACGAAAATTGACATTCAACCTTTTTTCTATGAACTCCAAACAGACCTTTCATTATGTCGTACGGAATTTCTTGCCTACTTATTCCATAAACAAGTGGACAAAACTGCAACTTTTCGCACCAAGTACCGAAAATCATTTTCTCAGTGGTAACTATGCCACAAAATATTAGGTCGTTCCAAAAGTATTTTCGCTTTTTTTTGAACAAGCGGCATAGAAGCAGCATCCTCTCCGGCCCAATAGCACATTGCCTTTGCCCTGCCTACCACATAGTCTGACCAATCACAGTCTATATCCAATGTTCCACAGGTTGACGAGAGAGGCTGGGAACGTTGCCTCTTCTTGCCGTAAAAATACCTCTTGACTCCTTCTTCACTTTACAAATTGAATCGTCGTTTGCTCTGAAAAAGCACGGCTTTACCGGCTTTACAAGAACTCGTCCTTATCGTTAGGGACGGATAATAAACGTGCGCTATATAGAACTGCGATCGCAGCACCCATAAGTAGCCTTAATAGCAAGTTCGACCAGTACATAGGCGATGAAGCTCAGAAAAGGGGAGTATTGGGCTGATCAAAAGTAATGGGGCACTTTAGATTTTGAACACTTTTAAAGGTTTCTCTTGAATATTTGAACAACCAGCAATTAGAATGCTTTTTTATAAAGTCCTTCATTCTGGGAGCACACCACCTCACCCCAATCCTTCAAATGGCGCTTTGAAGAAGCTAGACAAACTTGTTAGAGCCATCCGCATTTGTGCTACTGTACACCAAAGTCCCGATATGTACACGTCGTTTGAAAGGGCTTGAGCTTTTCCTAACGGTCACTTAAATGTAGAAATTCGATATTTCCGCATATTTCCGGGTTATTCAAAAAGTGCGGTATTCTGTGCAGATTTTTCGGCCAAAAAAGATGTTTTGGCTCACACTTTGTTAAAAAAAGGAGAAGTTGAGGTATGTCGCATACGCTTAAATAGACCGCTAACTATCATTTTGGTGACAGTCCTGTCACCCACCCACTGCGACAGATATATCCGGTAGCTTCCCTTGTTTTAGTGTGGAGTCTGCTAATAGTACGAAATTACTTGAAGTGACGGGCATTGGTTTCAGGCCCTTATAGAAATAACGAGATGCGAAAATGCCCATATATTCCACCAGAAGGTTTCATATTTGCCAAAACTTGAGCAACCGCTTGACTTTTTTTCTCAAGAAAACTGCATTTACTGTCTAAGGGTCCATTCTTTTGGATCCCTTATGTTATAAGATTGACATGTTGCAATTCTTCACATCATTTCATTTCAGGCATGAAATTTAAGAATTTTGATTAACAAGTATTGTTACTAAATTGGAAGCGCTTATAGCGCAGTAACACTCCTCTTTAACTTTACTGGATTTTAAGGCAAATTTTAGGAAAAATTTCCAACTAAAATAATCTTCTAAAACGATGTAGTAATGAAAGTGCTTGACAGGATAATGTTTTGTATTATCTCTGTAGGTAATCCCATTTAGAGGAGCACTCCATCATTTGCTAGATTTAGGCTGTTGTTGTCTGTGATGCTACTGAAAATGACCAGTCCAACCCTTGACGTCCTATCACTCACATCGTTAACTGTTTCTCGGCCTCTTTCTCAGCTTCGCTTGTCCATTTTTTTGTCAAGACAACAAACTTTCCTGGGTCTATCCTTTCTTCTCTCCTTATGGCTGCTCTCTGGTTCTTCTACACACTATATGTGCCTTCCCGAATAACTTTGTTGATGTGAAGGGCATCCTTGCCCATCGGAAGGCAAGCCATAATAAGCAATGTCTACGTTTCGCTGTTTTCGATGATGACAGACTTGAAAGTGCATAGCAGTCACTCAACGTAGATGTGGGGAAGGCTCGCGATCCAAATGCCTTTCCACATGACTCTTGCGCTGACATATGATATGGTGAAAACAACCAAGAGAAAACGCTAACAAATAAAATGAGATAAATATCTTAGACCCAACTTACGATAAGAAATGCGCCAAATTTATTGGCATCAATCCTACGCTACAGTAATTTGACTGCAAGATCAGCGTGTTAGAGTAAGTGAAAAGAATATGACTAGAATTTTATGACAGTTTATCAACCATACTCCGCATCAAGCGCTATACAAATTTCGGTGGTCCCAATTAATAACATAGACTAAAACAGTTACATTGATATGAAAAGAGAAAAAAAAACCGATTTTTTGCATTCGCATGTTTCTTCGTAACCGAACAGGCTTGGATTCTTTTAACTGTGTAATGCCGACATTGAGATTCGGTTCATACTATTACTTGCTGATAGCACCGATAGCCAAAAGCTGTAAGAACGGAGAGACTTTGTTTTCAAAATCAATTTAGGACTTCAAAATTGCAGAAAGGCCTAGGTTTATTAGTCGTGTATCTGATCAAGGCCGGTATTCAAGTTCGAGCCGACTCTATTAGAAGATATTTTTTGGTTCCTTGCGCGCTTCAACTAAATAAGTAGTGTTTATTGATAAGTTGAGGCTGCGTACATATATATGTAGCTGACGGGTTAATGATAATTTTCGTCATGAAATGATTTGAAGATTTCTCTGCTCAAGTATTCTACAGGTAAGGACTTGTTACCATAATACGTAATTTCTGAATTTTGAGGGGTTTTGAGGATATACTGTGTAAATTTGTGATTCTATGTTTGCGCATGGCTTAGAATTAGCAAGCAAATATACAGACTAAGCAATTTCAACTAAGCTGTCAATACAAAATTATGCTGGTTGAGTCCTCAGTTATTTGTTTAGCACTCAAGTATACCTAAGTCAATGATCTTGGGAACAAACTTTATAATATGGGATTATATATGGTTAACAGAAAGACTTGTGCAGTAAGCTTGGTATGTTTTATGGTTATGCTTGTTTCGTGCGGACTGGCATTATTGGCAGCAAGGCAGTCCTTCATATAGACTGCAAAAATAACATAGCAAGAACGAAAACTGTAACTGTTTTCACTCCCGGACATGTATACTTCTCAACAGGGAAGGATACCAACATAAGTTGAAAATCAAAGACGTGATTCATATCACTAGAAGCGTCTTTGAACGCTGGGTTCCAATTCTGCTTTTTCTGGCGGAACAATTCTACGAAAGAAGTTAAGAGCCTTGAAAGTCCAAAATTGTCAAGCGTCATCTGGCTTACAGTTAGCAAAAAGCTCCACGAAAACACTTAAGCCGATTTCCACTGACTGTGTTCCATCCTTGCAGTCAGCATTTTCGTAATATAAAATGACTTGCCCAGGTTGTAGTGTTTTTGAGAGTTTTTCGCAATTTTATGCCAATTGAAACTTGACAATTTTGGAGTTTCAAAGGCTCATGACTTCTTTCGGGGAGTTGTTCCGCAAAAAAAGGAAAGCAAATTCGAAATCAGCGTTGAAGGCGCTTCTAGTAATGTACATCTCGCCTTCAATCTCCAATTTATGTTGGTATCCTTCCCTTGCCGGACTCGTTGTTCAAACGTCCAGACCCTTTTTGTACATGTAACGTAAATGTTATATTATTGTCATAAGCTTATCAAACCGCTGGCGCACTTTTACAAAAACAAGCGTGGAAAGTTCGCAACATTTTTACGAGACACAAACGTAGCACGTACTTTTACATTCTGTAATATTAAAAGATGACTAGAAATCAAACAATATTGTGAGATGATATTTAATGGAGTGGCAATTTAAGCTATTGTCTTAATGTCAAATTGATCAGCTAAATTTTGGACTTTCAAAACGATATCAAAACGGACTTAATTGTTTGTTCATGGCTCAATCACCTTCGAATGCGGCAGCGTTGACGAGCCCGGTTGATCAAATCAAAACATGTACCATTAACTTCAAATGAATCATCCTTCAATTTTTGCAGAGATTTCAACATTCACATGTCATTCACGTAACAGCACATAGCCGTAGACCAATTTACAAGACATTCAAAGGCATCACTGAAGTGTTAGATTGGCTGTTAATCTCTGTTACACTTCTCTTTGAGGAACATTCTGTCCGCATGGCGTGAAGATGAGATCTTATTTTTGAGAATTAGTAGTAAAAACGAGCAGAATTTATTGGTCAACCTAACAGAATGCCTTGCTATAAATCAGAGCATCTTTCGGCACAGTATCTTTTGATGCCCTTGTCTGTATAGACATTTTGGATGGATATAGTTTGCTGACTCAACACCCTCAGAATTTATAGGCTCAATTAAAGGATGATAGGCTGAGCGAATAATTTTTTCCTCATTTTCAATAACAAATTGGCAGTTAACAAGTATGGGCTGCTATCCATCTCTGTAAAGTTTTGGTTGCTACTTCTGACTCAAGATAAAGTAGAATGTTTACTTTGTAGATATTTTTTACACAAAAGCGTACATCGCAAACGAATCAATGGGACCGACAGTGTTTGATGCGATATCAGAAGTCTTCCGACTTCCCGGATACAATTTGGGTACGGACTTCGTTGTGTGCTCAATGGGGATACAGAAGGGGCGGGACGGGGAGAAGAAGAGGTGAGAGGAGGAGCGAGGCGGCTGGCGGGGCGGGCGGACGGGTAGGGCGCGGTAAGCGGAACACAAGCTGGTGCTGTCGGGGGGTGTAGGCGCGGAAGAAGAAGTATCGGAACAAATCAGGGCAACAATGGTAAGGACACCGGTAGGAGATAGCTCGACACTTATGTACAACTGTCCTCACGGATAATCATCTAGCAACGGAAACGAGAGAGCGGGCCGGAAAAGAGGAAAGAGGGAGAGAGGGGGAGAGAGGGAAGTCAGAGTCTGGCGGAGGGAGAGAGTGGGCCTGCGGGAAAGAAGAAGTACTCTCATTACGACACTATTCGTGGCTCTTCGCTATCACACACTATCGCAGCGCGCTCTCTGGAATACTCTCACCTGAGAGTCGAGTGTAAGAGAAATAAGAGACGCAAGGAGAGATGAACGGACACTGTGCGCACGGCTCGCGACTCGCGACACCGCGCGTCTACTGCACCGAGCAGCAGCCGCACTTCCTCTTCTTCACGTGCACCAGCTCGACCTTGCCCGCCGGCGGAAGATCGTCGAACTCGGCCGAAGTCGCGTTGTTGCCACTAAACACGAACAATGACTCTCAGTAGCCCGAGTGCTTCCGGACGAGAAGCATCTAGTCACCACATGCCACCACCGGCTACGGCTACCAACCACTACACAAACGCCCATTGAAGCGTCTAGCTAGAAGAACTAATGTGCGAATTCTGCTCTCGCCAAAAGCTGGTAAAATGCACGTGGAACTCTGACTGGCAAAAAACTGCTTTTAGTCGAATGACCTTCCCAAACGAAATCTATATGGTTCTGAAGACAATTGAACGCTAATTCCAAATCTGTTTCCGACTTGCTGTGCGCCTCTGAACGACGAGTTATGAATGTATTTGTGTCGAAAAATTAAACGCGCAATGAGACCAAATATATTCAAAACCGCTCAAATGAGCCAGTGTAATATATCAGCGCAGTTTATGTGATGGATACCTTCTAATAGGTATACTCACTTTCATCACTATGCTCTATTTTGGCTAGAGGTACCGCAACGACTAATTTTATCTTAATGCTTTCCCTTTTCGTTCCAAAATACATTCATAACTCGGCGTCTAGAAGCGCACAGCAGATACTGAAGACAGTTTAGAATCAACATTTGATTTTCCCTTGTAGAGATCCAAAAGGGCCACATCGACTATAAACACATTCTTTGTGAGTCTTTTTTCTCATATTTAATTCTTAAAAACTGAAGAGTCAAACATTTGCTCAATCGTCATTAAACGTCATTCTTTTTTGACTATGTCAATAAAGCAATGATGACTTCGATATTCATATTTCCAATAAATACTTCAAAACCTCCAAAAAAAACATTAAAGCTTCAAGGATTAGTTAAAAGATTCGCAACTGGTGTTAGTAACCCATAAAACCTCGCACTCTGGATAAGAAATGCATATCAAGGCACTAGTTGAAAGAAGAAGGGAAAAGTGTTCATCACCACCGCAGTTCGAAATTTCTCCTTCATTCTGAGATGCCACAAAAATTTTAAGTGCCGCTGAGGTTTCCAACAGCTATTTTTACATCCGTCGCAAAAAATTTCGGATATCGATTTGGCATTTCACAAAGCACCCACTAGAGTTGAGCTAAATGCGACACAGGGGAGCATTTTTAGCAAGAGCTCATTAAAAGAACTGCAGAAGAAAGTTTCGATCTGCGGCAGTAACGGCTTTTTCGCGGAACTTCTTTGCAACATTGAAATTTTGCCCTTACAAGATACTTGCAAAGCGCAGGACAAAGTTTCAGTTTGAAAGCAGGCTAAGATCGGCTCTAGGGAATCCGTCGTCAATGAAGACTTCTCACTTTTTCTCAGGACTAGATTGTCGCTGATCCGGTTGCAGGAGTGGCTGTGTCTGTGCTTTCTCATTGTCCATCAACTGCTCTTTGGATAAACCATTTTGGAGGTAGGGTGGAGAGGATATGGAGCTAAAAAATGGGGTTTATTCAATTATTTGCTCGCAAACAGTACAAACCATAACTGACCCATCTTTTTGTTGTTTTGTTGGGGTATTATTGGCACTACCTGGCCTACTTGGTGGAAAAGGTTTGTGCATATACTGCTCCACTATCGGATCTACCTCATGATATAAGACCTCTTCTGGTCGGAAAGGATTCTCGTGCTCCGCCATTTTTCTGAACAATGGATAAACTTTTTACCACAAAGAAATTATTGCTCAAACTTACTTTGAATGCAAAGGAGGACTTATTGCCACCCTGCGTACTTCCTCTATCTGATTCGGAGGTGATATCGGGCTAGGAGATTCCGGTAGTACGAGATCCGAGGTCACCGTAACTCGGTTCACAGGTGCGTCGGGACTAAAAAGTCAACAATAAAGAACAAAACTAGAAATCATAATAAAACAAAGTCCTGCAATAGTCAGAAAGCCGAGTCGGACTAGAAATCCTCAAAAACTTTTTTTCGTGTTCACGAAGTAAGCGAGCCAACATTGCAGTGAATCAAACCAGAGACACAAAGGCAAATGAGTTTTGCAAACATAAATCAAAACTCAATTTCTAACAAACACCTAGATTTATGACAAGAGATATATTTAGCCACTGCAAAAAAATTGAATCCAGCGAGTGGTAAATTATATCTAGCCTTTCTTTTTTCATAAAAATTTTAGCAAGAGGTGGATTTAGCAACCTCAAAAAAAAACTGAATTCAGCAGATTTTGTATCGGAATAATTTTACCTTCCACAATAAAGGATAATATCAAGCGATAGAATTGAGATAAAAATAAGCTAACGGGAACCAACTACAAAAAAAATCAGACTAAATGAGCGTAAGTCTAATTTGCAAAGAAACAACTGCAAGATTTCAAGACAAAGCCGAGAACATGAGATACTCAGAAAACAAGATCAATGTGGCACCCCGAATGTGCCCCCGAGATGCTGAATGTGTCCAGCTGCGGGCAATGAAACACAATTAATGGACAGCATTCGGAGGGCAACATTGGCGAAATGAGCCAAGAGAGACAGACAGAGTGCAACGCTGCAAAAGAATTTCTAAAGCAGAAAAATCTTCCAAAAATCGACGATGTGCAGCTGTGGATAAACGTTGCCATCAGCGAACGCGTGCAGCAAATGGGCAACGAAACATCAGCGAGTGCACGTTAAATATGGACGAGGTGGCAGTGCTTATGAATGGCCAGATGTTTGCCATCGAGCGAAAGAAATCTCAGGGATTCGTTAGTGGGAAATGTGGAAAGCTTTTGCAGTGGCGTTGGCTTCCAGTGCTTGGAGCGGCGCAAGAAAGTGATTCAATTTCCGGCAGTGGAGCTGCCTCTGCACGCAGAGAACGTCTTTGTAGCCGGGAGAAGCTTGTGGGTGTGTATGTTTATGGCGTTATGGAAGTTCTGAATGTTGTGGAAAACAATTCGACATTCTGTCATAGGAAGCGAAAACAAAAACTAACAGATAAATGGGAGCCTTCCAGAAAAAGCAGGCGTTATAAGCGATGGACGTGGTGAAAACAAGTAAGCATCTCAATAGAACAAGGGAAAGTGTGAAGAGATCATGACATGCGGCATGCCGCCAGCATGCGATTTTGACAGCGCTCAGCCAGCTTAACCACCAAAATCGCCCGGCGATCGGGGTGGATCAGACGAGATGGGTGGTCTGGCTGGCGAGGTGGGTGGCCGAGACCTCACAGGCGATCGATATCTCGCAACTCCGCTCGCCAATCAAAAGTTGTCAGTCAGTGCTAGTGACATACGCAAACACTAGGCGAATGTCTACAATATCGGTACGGTTCGCGCAAACTCAGCTGAGAGCAGTGCGCCGCGCAAGAAGAGCTGAGTTCTTGCGTACTTTGCGCTAAGATTATTGGGGAAATCTTCCGGATGCGAAGTTTATCCGCGACATAATAAACAATTTATTAAATCTGCTGCTCGGATGCTTTGTCTAATGTGTTTGTCGAAAAAAGAGAAGGTGAAGGCGTTTGTGCAGTTTCAGTTACATGTGCGAGTGCACACTTTATCCAAATTACGCGTGTTATCTCGGATATCGCTGGGCTATGAGGGCGGCTTTCTTTGGGATAAGTGCTTTTTTAGTGTTTTTTTCTGGAAGTTTCCGTTCATTTATTGAAAATTTTCGCCGATTTGTATGCAAAACAGTCAATGCATCCAGGATCCGTACGCGTACTGCTAATGGTGTGAGGATTTACGCAATTAAAACATGAAACGACTGGACTGCACAGAGAATCCCGATCATGCTCAAACTGACCTTTCAGCGACTGGAATGGTAAGCGAAAGTAGAGAAATGACTAATATGCTTACGAAAATGTAGAAGTTTGCACTTCCACGCCTATTTATGGAAGTTGAAAGCAATTCGGCGCGCTAGCATGATTCATTGAGCGTTGCCAAGCCATGAAGTTTCAATAGTTTGTTTTCGCCACATACTCAGACGTTCAGAAGAGCTGTCAAGCCGAGTGAGAGCCCGCTAAATGTCCTTTATGAGGAGACGCACTGCAGAATGCATAAATGACAGAATAACAGCGCATTTGCGAGATTGCGCTGAAGGAGAGGAAAGGGAAAGAAGAACAGAAGCAGCACGATATCCAAAAAAGAACTCTATACGGCGCTGGATCGATCCACACACCTAGAGCCGCTCATTACTGATGAATAGAGCAGACTGTGTGAGAGCAGAACAGCGGCTTAATGAGCGTCATACCGAACCGAGACGGCTCTACCAGCTCACAGCCGGCAATTGATGATGGAGCGCGAACCGCTGTGGTGGGGCCAGCTATCGATCCAGTACAAAACGCCTTCAGCGATGTGGGGGTCAGGGAAAAGGGGCGTGGCGCGGGCAGTGGACGAGATGTCAGCCGAGGTGAAGATGTCCGGCAAGCTTAACGCGCGTGCGCGGTGCTGCCACAGAGGTGCTTCGTCGGCGGCGAACGACAAAGACGAACGTTTCAGGTTACTCAGCAAGTGTGTCTATTACACATACGACTCTGCTGCTTGGATTTCGGCCTTGTGGCTGTGCTGCGCCTCGTGCGATAGGGCGTCATATGCGCTCGAGGCAAAATTAGCAGCGAGTGATTGGCCAAGTGCAACCTGGAGCGACGTGATCCAAAATTAGAACCGCGCCGCTGGCAAAACGGCCAATGGCTCGTTTTGTAGCCGTTTTTTCCGTCTGAGACTGAGACGGCTAAAATGGGGGGTAATCATGACTTCGTTGCCATTTAGCCTCAAAGTGCATCGTGCTATTGCAGCTCGATCAACGGCCAGATAAAGGAGAAAGGTTTGAAATATTAACCTGGAGGTCCGAATAATTTTTGCGGAGTGGAGGCGACAAATATGTTCATGAACTAAGCTTCCAAAAACATTTCCTGGCTCAAATCTTAGGAGGAACTATACCCCCAAAATTTTTTTGGAGAAAAAGGTGACGTGACGGCAGCCACAACACCTTTTTCTCCACCGGCGGAGAAGAATAATTATCAAAGGGCTAATTTAATTTTTGGAAATCTTGATATCCCAATCATTTACAAGAGAAGAAGTCCTATTTTATTTATCAGAAAAGAAAAGCTGGTAGAAGAATATTCTTATAACCTTTAGATAACGCTTACTAGCGGAAAAATTCTTCCCACGAGAATGATTAATAAGATTCTCACAGGCTCCTCACATAGAAGAAGAAAGGCTCATATAACCAATGCAAGTATGGTCACTTGAATATTTTAGCTACGAGTCATGTCTGTTCAACATAAACTGCAGGGGAATGTATTAGGTTGTCCGGAAATTAATGTCCGTTTAGAATTTCAACCGTAGTAAATCATACACTTCTTATTTCTGAATAGGTTGCATAGTACCATTCGATAGAGCAAAGCAAGCTCTACTGAATGGCGATCTTGTTTTTGCAAAATCTCTCATTAACCTTGAGTTTCGAGCCAAAAACTAAAATGCTTCAGCTGCGCGAAACATTGAGAAAATTCGTATCTCAGTTCATAAAAAATCCTACAAAAATTCTAACTTATTCACGTAAACACTATCCACATAGGACATCTATATACGCCATCGTCGTCTTTCTTCACTTTCTAGAAGTCAAGAAAACGGAAATTTTCGTGCATTTTCCAAAGTGATGCTGTGCAGTCCCCACATGCATAGTTGTGTACTACAAACCCGTAGCAGTACAAACGTAAATTTTCAGCTTTCTACAAGCCTTGGTTCTCGAGAAAAATCAAATGTGGCTTTCTCTAGTCAGGTGGTCCAAGCCAAAATTCAAATTTCTCGAGAATTAAAGCTTGTAGAGAGCTGAATATTTACGTTTGTACTGCTACGGGTTTGTAGTACATAACTATGCATGTGGGATCTGCACAGAATCACTCTGGAAAATGTATGAAAATCTCCGTTTTATTGATTGCTAGAAGGTGGAAATAGACGGCAATGGCGCATATAGATGTCTTATGTGGATATTGTTTACGTGAACAAGTTAGAATTTTTGTAGGATTTTCATGAACTGAGTCACGAATTCTCTCAATATTTCGCAACTGAAGCATTTTGGTTTTTGGCTCAAAACTTTAGGTTAATGAGTTGCAAATCAAGACAGCCAATCTGTAGAGCTTGCTTTGCTCGAATGGTGCCATGCCACCTATTCAGAAATGAGAAGTATATGAGTTATTAAGGTTAAAATTCAAAACGGACGTTATTCCGGACAATTTGATACTAACAAAATCCTGAACACAGAAAGAAGTGGTGGGGCTAGCTCAGAGCTTCAGTCTTCCAACACTGTCTTAGAAATTTCTATGCTGGAATTGGAAGAGCAAACAGACTTACACAGACTAGAGTTTATGAATGAAAATAATTTGGAGGGTGCCGCCACCAAATTTGTCTAACTCTTGTTACGACTAAATTTCAACTTCAGTAGATTGGTGAAAATTACTGACCAAGTGTGGAGATTGTGAAACTCCATTTTTGATGTTTTCAAAAGTGGCACAAAAATTATAAGGATACTTTCATCAATGACACTAGCGACAAAAGAGCGAGTAGATGAATTCTCTCTGATGGAGTGCTACTGAAATTGCGAAAGTCCAAGGTCTTTGAATTTCGTAAAGCACTAATGCATGAATTTCATTTGCTCGATAGCTGCCTGGCACTACCACTGTATCCTTTCATAAAGCTCAAATAATGGATGGTTTCCGAAAAGTCGACTACAATTATTTTTAGTTGAGGGAGAGAGGGGAGGAGGGAGATTGAAAATTTCTTGATAAAATTTCTTTTATAGGCTGGAGCAAGAGTCAACTTGTGGGGTGAAGAAAAAGGCATTTTGATTGCTAGCAGATGGAAAACTGAATTTCAATTATTGATCTATGATGATGG